CAAATGGACAACTCAATATGTGATCGAATATTATCGATCTAACATGGAGCTATACCCACCGTCATTGTTCAGTAAAACAGCTATGAGTAGTATCAATCTCATGCGCATGCAAAACTCTTAATTCCCAGTCGAAAACGTAAGGCTCGAACGCAAAAGATCACCTCCACAATTTGTCATATATGCACTATAAGTAAGTTCAAGCATCTAGGTAAAACATTCAAAAGCAGACAGAAAACAGATTTCGCCAAACGCTTAAGTCTGCTTTACAAGACGCTTTGACATAGAATCTATATACTTCTATTCTCTAGCAGTGTTTATGGTTTACTGCTAGGAACAGTTTTGGGTCGCATGCAGTTGGGTAGCCCCGTGGGACGTGATCTCGTTTTTTTGTTTTTTGAAAAAAAATTAAGCCCACTAATCATCGTTTTCAGTGAACGAAAAGAGCATCAAGTAGATTTCGAGAGTATTCGTTAAGATGTTCGTAACTCTAGAATGAAAAGAGGCAGGTTGTAGACCAAAATATGAAATTAACACAATACACACTCTCGTCTAGATAAAGTCACTTTATACGAGACTTATGTAATAATTTTGCTAAAGTTTATTCAGGATGCGAAAATTAGTGCGTAGTTATTTCGTCCAAGAGAAGGTCGACGCCGAGCGTCAAATGTGGACAAAAAAATTCTAGTGGCGTTTTGCAAAGCTAAGGAAAGAAACGTTACTTAAGTATTCGCAACGAATTAATAGGCTACCGGCAAGGCCTATCTGCTATTTGTATTATGAGCGTTTATTGTTGTAGTGGTACGCAGGCACCGAGAATTGTTCTTAATTTAAGGACGAGGTACAAAAAAAGGATACAACCTTTACGCTTTGTAAAAGGAATGGTAGAAAAATCATTATGCATTTCACTAACACCGCTATACGTTTTGTTGCCTTGAGAGATGTTAATATTAGGACACGATCCACTAAGGCAGTAAAAGGGTTCCTTGAGGCGGCCAGTATGGTAATAATCTAGACATTAAATGAGTATCCGATAATAAACATTTCATCGAACAATAAAAAACAGTCATTCTAGGAGGTGAATTTCAATTAATTCCTATTATAATAATAATCGATTTATTTAATAGTATTAGTAACGTTCGTTGTGAGATTATTTTAAAAACCATGAGGCGTTACTTTGAAATCTGAGGGCCAAAAATTTCGCGAGCTAACGGTACAAGTCGTCTAAATTTTTTTCTTTTTTTTTTTTTTCATAACATGCACACCTACTTGCTTCAAGTTAGTTTCTAAATTGAAGACTTAGAAGCACGAGGTAGGACAGAGTCAAATCAATGCGTTCCTGTCGTTTATAATAGTAATGATGATGATGATGATAATAATAATTACGATTAATATTACTAAGAAGGTAATTTACGGGACGGGGGAAATTACCATGTTCGTCGGAATAACCCCATTTTAGTACAACGATCTGCCGCTTTCGATGTTGGAGGTATGCAATCGGTAACATGGGTCCACTTTAGTCGCACCCTCGTAAAGAAAGCAGGGTACAACCCAAGAGAGAAAATAGGGAAACGGATGGTATATCGGATGCGGCAAGGCCGGTCGGTGGTACAGTCGACAGCGAGTACAAAGCTGCAAAACAAGCTAAGGGAAAAAAGTTAGCTGATAATATAAAGCAAAAGGCAGAGGCCATTCAGGACGTTGACGGGTCAAGCAAGGCAAGACAGCCACCAACGGCCTTAAAAATTAGCTTAACATTTACATAGTAACAATGATCAGCTAAACGAAGTAATGTGCGAGAACGGTTTCGATGAGACTGCGGGTTTGTGGAACTTGCGAGACGTTAGGAACGAGCGGATTTTACACTTTTGGCCATGTGTGTGGCGTAAAGTTATTGTGTGACAGAAATTATAGTGATGCTTTGTGAAATTACTATTATATAAGTAAGCAGAGAATTACGGTCTTATTTGAAAACGAAAGTTTTCAAAAAACTCAGCATCCGTTGAGTTTGTGAAGCATACGTTTCAACCAGTGTCCGAAGGCGTTTTCAACACATCTTCGACCGACTCACCTGCACGAGACATGCTATAGACCAAAATGGATGAGTCTGCATTGCGGCATAGTTGTCAGCGAAATCATGCAAAAGGAGCCAATTCATAACGAGTACATAAAACAAATAATTAAAAGGCATACTGTACACTATTTTAAGTTTACAACGTTGATTCTAACATAATAATCTGATTAGTAAAGACGCATAAAATATTTAATTTTAACTAACTTAATTTACAACGGCTTTTTTAAAATTTTATATCCAAATGTTCCTATTGGTCCAATTGAGGTAACCAGGACATGGGTTAGCTTCAAAATATTTTTTTTCACGCAGATCGTTTTTGATAGCTACTAAAATATTTTAGAAATATGTACTGCCATTATTGCTAGCCTGTATCATTTCAAGCGTGGGCTATTACACACAAGAAAATAGGGGCTCAAAAAATTTATATAATCTATCTATATGGCTTAGGTTGATTCCGTCTTACGAGTCATTTAGCAAAAGTAACCGAGCTGAATTTTTTTTAACAAAAAAACTTCTAAAAAAATCTGTGTGCTGAGCTGACAGTAGTAATATGACTCATTGTAACGGTTGTACCGATCGCGAGAAGGGTAATATTTTCATTTAACTTCCTGATTGGCAAGTTTGGTCGAGATAGATGTTTTGTTTATGAACTTGGATGAAATGCTGCAGTCTTATAGCGTTGTTGGTCTGACCCTATAAACTTAAATGTATACTTTGGCATACGTTTTCAAATTCAATTGCCGCTCAGCCAGGTCGCATTTGGCCAAAAAGCGATTTCGGTGACCTAATGAGCCTTAATTTTCTCGCGTAGTTTTCGTACGCAAGGAACATGTAGCTAGACAAGGTCATCACTATCTAACTCCCACTGGTTAATTAAGGTTTGAAAACTAAGGATCGAGGTGAGAACGTTCCTCGTGTCGAAAAGGGTCAAATGCATGCTTGTTTTAGATGGAAATATCAATTGTATGGTGACATCGCAAAGCGCCCAGACTGTGCGCGTCTAATCCCTGGATTAGAAATCAACCAGAAATTGAGCGTACTATTAGAAAAACAGAACTTCTCCCTTTCGTATTAAATAATCAGTGAATGGATTAAGCATCGTAGATAATATCCTTATTCAAGCGTTGATAACATTTAGCGTCAGACGTTTTCTTATAGGCCACCTGAGTGAAGTTTGCACCATATATACTTACAAAATTCAGTAGATTGGCATAAAGTAGGTTCCGAGGAAACTGCGACGAAGCAGTAAGGAAATCAATGGTGTCTGAGGAATGGCGTCAGGGAACCGCTATAACGAGTTCAGGTTCAGGACTCAAGTTCAGGCAGAGTGTTCCTAAAGTCGATAGTGTTGGGTAGCGTCCGACACGTCTACGTAACGTACATCGTGCGCGAAAGACGTATGAAAAAGCCTAAGTGCTCATAGACGAAACTCGGCAGATACTGCATATATGTATGTGGCGAGATTCTGAAGTTTCTTCGTTCTATTTACTCTGTTTGATTTTATACGAGATAGTATAGTAACAGATTTACTAGGTTAAGCCTATGCAGTTGCCGATGAGAGGCTAAGCTTCAATAATTCGTAGATGACTGCATCTGCACAACGGCAAAACAGTAGAAATTTTTTTCAAAGAATAGTTGGCTTCAGTGCAGACAATTACGCTGCAAACGCAATTCTATCTATCATATTTTCAGTCCATCATAGAACGATTATATGTACATAAGACCGCTGACTCATGTGCTGTAACACTTCAACGGAATATATTCAATTTAGGTTACTCGATTTACTCCATAGAAGGGATAAAACGCTTGGCACGTGCCAAGCTTCTTTCAACTAAGCTAATTTTCTGAGTACAAGCACCGATCCTAAAGTATTTGTATTTTTAAAATTTTCAACAGGTATTTTCGTATTATGTATTCCGGGGCAGTATCAAGTAAAAAGCCGTAGGAGCAAGCGTAAGTCATTCAATGGCCTTGCTGCATGTCTAGCGAACTTGTGGCAAATGAAGTTGTGCCATATTTGAAGGTCACATTCTCAGCCGAATATCCAGTTGATTGGAAACGAACTTTGTAATGGAGTTGGCCTGCTCGACCGTTGTTGGATCAAAAGGACAACAACTGTTCGACAGATGACCTAGGTGGCAGATAGATGGCACGCAGTAAACTCATAGAACAAAAGCTTCATAGACTATCGAACCCTCTATAGACTACAGAAATGTGTTAATTCCGCATAACAGTATAAACATACCTAAAAATTCGCAGTAGGGGTTTGTTCTGCTCCAATATCACGTTCTACTCTCTTGCTAGGTGCTGAACTGTGGTTTGAACTAGGCGCCAATGCCGGATCTAATAGTCGTAAAATATAACCTGCTTGAGATATAGCTGGAAGAAGTGTCATTATCGGGTGGACGGGAAGCGCGAAAGGAATCGATAGGAAAATCACCAAGGTCCTAAAGGGCCCTAGTAAGCGGGATGATAGCTGGGCCTTCTGCATATCGAGCGCATGATTCTGTAGCAAGTTCCTGTAATTACAGGACGGTATGGCGTGGGTGGCTAATGCGCATCCCTCTGAGTGCGTTGCGCAAGCAATTATTACGAGAAAACAAGCTGGTTCAAACATTTAGTGCTGGCGAGATTTGTCTCAAATCAAATTGTTACGGAATTAATTGGGATAAGGTATCACTATTTAGGTTAGTGGGTGCTTGTATGCCATTTCATAGAAAAGTCCAGCCCAGATTGACTCCTAATGATTCTAGTTCTTCAGTGGTATACCTAAGAACAGATCATTTCGAGGACTTATGGATGGACAGTAGCGCTGAACGTATACAAACAGGTAACTATAGAAATCGTCGGGTGGTAAAGGCAGTCATTTCTCTCTAATAGTAGTAGTAGTAGTAGTAGTAGTAGTAGTAGTAGTAGTAGTAGTAGTAGTAGTAGTAGTAGTAGTAGTAGTAGTAGTAGTAGTAGTAGTAGTAGTAGTAGTAGTAGTAGTAGTAGTAGTAGTAGTAGTAGTAGTAGTAGTAGTAGTAGTAGTAGTAGTAGTAGTAGTAGTAGTAGTAGTAGTAGTAGTAGTAGTAGTAGTAGTAGTAGTAGTAGTAGTAGTAGTAGTAGTAGTAGTAGTAGTAGTAGTAGTAGTAGTAGTAGTAGTAGTAGTAGTAGTAGTAGTAGTAGTAGTAGTAGTAGTAGTAGTAGTAGTAGTAGTAGTAGTAGTAGTAGTAGTAGTAGTAGTAGTAGTAGTAGTAGTAGTAGTAGTAGTAGTAGTAGTAGTAGTAGTAGTAGTAGTAGTAGTAGTAGTAGTAGTAGTAGTAGTAGTAGTAGTAGTAGTAGTAGTAGTAGTAGTAGTAGTAGTAGTAGTAGTAGTAGTAGTAGTAGTAGTAGTAGTAGTAGTAGTAGTAGTAGTAGTAGTAGTAGTAGTAGTAGTAGTAGTAGTAGTAGTAGTAGTAGTAGTAGTAGTAGTAGTAGTAGTAGTAGTAGTAGTAGTAGTAGTAGTAGTAGTAGTAGTAGTAGTAGTAGTAGTAGTAGTAGTAGTAGTAGTAGTAGTATAGTAGTAGTAGTAGTAGTAGTAGTAGTAGTAGTAGTAGTAGTAGTAGTAGTAGTAGTAGTAGTAGTAGTAGTAGTAGTAGTAGTAGTAGTAGTAGTAGTAGTAGTAGTAGTAGTAGTAGTAGTAGTAGTAGTAGTAGTAGTAGTAGTAGTAGTAGTAGTAGTAGTAGTAGTAGTAGTAGTAGTAGTAGTAGTAGTAGTAGTAGTAGTAGTAGTAGTAGTAGTAGTAGTAGTAGTAGTAGTAGTAGTAGTAGTAGTAGTAGTAGTAGTAGTAGTAGTAGTAGTAGTAGTAGTAGTAGTAGTAGTAGTAGTAGTAGTAGTAGTAGTAGTAGTAGTAGTAGTAGTAGTAGTAGTAGTAGTAGTAGTAGTAGTAGTAGTAGTAGTAGTAGTAGTAGTAGTAGTAGTAGTAGTAGTAGTAGTAGTAGTAGTAGTAGTAGTAGTAGTAGTAGTAGTAGTAGTAGTAGTAGTAGTAGTAGTAGTAGTAGTAGTAGTAGTAGTAGTAGTAGTAGTAGTAGTAGTAGTAGTAGTAGTAGTAGTAGTAGTAGTAGTAGTAGTAGTAGTAGTAGTAGTAGTAGTAGTAGTAGTAGTAGTAGTAGTAGTAGTAGTAGTAGTAGTAGTAGTAGTAGTAGTAGTAGTAGTAGTAGTAGTAGTAGTAGTAGTAGTAGTAGTAGTAGTAGTAGTAGTAGTAGTAGTAGTAGTAGTAGTAGTAGTAGTAGTAGTAGTAGTAGTAGTAGTAGTAGTAGTAGTAGTAGTAGTAGTAGTAGTAGTAGTAGTAGTAGTAGTAGTAGTAGTAGTAGTAGTAGTAGTAGTAGTAGTAGTAGTAGTAGTAGTAGTAGTAGTAGTAGTAGTAGTAGTAGTAGTAGTAGTAGTAGTAGTAGTAGTAGTAGTAGTAGTAGTAGTAGTAGTAGTAGTAGTAGTAGTAGTAGTAGTAGTAGTAGTAGTAGTAGTAGTAGTAGTAGTAGTAGTAGTAGTAGTAGTAGTAGTAGTAGTAGTAGTAGTAGTAGTAGTAGTAGTAGTAGTAGTAGTAGTAGTAGTAGTAGTAGTAGTAGTAGTAGTAGTAGTAGTAGTAGTAGTAGTAGTAGTAGTAGTAGTAGTAGTAGTAGTAGTAGTAGTAGTAGTAGTAGTAGTAGTAGTAGTAGTAGTAGTAGTAGTAGTAGTAGTAGTAGTAGTAGTAGTAGTAGTAGTAGTAGTAGTAGTAGTAGTAGTAGTAGTAGTAGTAGTAGTAGTAGTAGTAGTAGTAGTAGTAGTAGTAGTGCTGGAGGTTACTCGTATAGGTACAGTCGCGGCTCTAGATTAACTAGGCGTTAAAAACCTATTGAAATCGGATTGAAACAGAATCCAAGCAGAGTTCGAGAGGTCTTGTACAAACATTTTGGACATCAAGCTATGCCAAATATATCTTCTGTGCTCGTCATTATTCGTCCGTGTAGGATAATCGACGTGTTTCTAAATGATATGATTTTCTTCAAGAGGTTTTCGGAAGTATTCAATTTTTCTGTATTTGGCGATCGAACCTAGAAATAAGGTAAAATAATAAGAAAATGGCACCTCTTATGAGTTACAACTAATATTTCAGTCTCTTGGTAGGGTCTATTTTACATAGATAAGGAGCATTCTATGGGTTAATGATCAAGTAAGGTTACATTTGTATATGTAATAAGCTTCTCTTGGGCTTTACGATTTAAAATTTTCACTAAAAATCCCACGAATATAGTGTTCTTTTTTTCTTATTTAATTGTAATCCACCAAGCTTGCATGTTGCAGAAGTGACTTTCAGCCATAATATTATCGATTAGACCGATCTAAACAGAATCATCTTAATATTAATGACGCTAATTTTGACAAAAATCAGTCAAAAGCCAAACTGGAGTTTGTTGCAATGTTTTACACATGATGATGTAGGTAACGCGAAGTAGTCGCCGCTATGATTCAGCCAAAAATTCAGATATTTAAGTGCCACCTAATCCTAAATGCGTTTATATTTTTCAATGGTAACCCTCGTATGGAGAGGGAAATGTACGTTATACACCAGAAATATCTAGATCGTCATCCTCTAAGACCATATAAAAAGTATACAGCCTATCAATAAATTATTGTCCGATAATATTCCCAATATCAGTACTGTCACTTTAACATTGTGTCAACTTAAAGGAACTCACACTCCTGAGTTCGCTAGATGTTGTACATTAAAATCTAACTACCACTTTTCCCAATTATTAATTTCATATTACATAATGATGGTGTTTACTGATCACAGTTAAGTAGAACTGTTCGAAAAAAACATGCTTCGGACAACTTAACTACCCCAAGTCTCTCGTACAGACAAGCCATCACTTGCCTAAAGACTGCACCAGAAACTGCAATGCTTATAGTTGAACACAGTTTATATTAGACAATGAAGATCTACCCACGAGAAGCAAGGTTTTATTAAAGCTAAAGATTTCCCAATTTTAACGATGTATCACAAACAAACCATGTTGGTTTTACTTCTTTACAGAATAATAGAGTCAGGTCACTATATACAAGGTATTTTGAGCTAGTTACGGGGCCCAGGAAACAAAGGGATTATGGAAATTTACAATTTAAGTTATACATTTTAGTTATTATATACAAGTTTGCTCTTTTTCAAATGGAGAATCTTTCGTCGAAAATGCAAGCTGCAAGTTCCACGACGCGCGCCGTGAACCTTCCCTTACCCCGGTAAGGCGCACTTGAGGCTTGCGAAGTACAAGTTTGTTGCTCGCTAATGGTCGGCCGACAGGTCGTTTAAAAAGCTTGCCGACGGGCCTTATGCTTTCTGGTCACGATTATTACACACGTTGGCTAACATTTACATAAGCGTATTTGCACTTGCATATTTAGACAGTCATGTAGGGTCGGTGGCGAAAACGGCTAGGGCGATTGGTTGAGGCCGGACTGCGCGAGAGGGTAGGCAGACAAAGTACTGAGCTGGAGTGTTGACTTGGCTGCATCTCCGATTTGTGAGTTTAGCTTCAGCTTTGATCATCCAATAGAATAACATATCAATAACTTGATATAACGTAACGTTTGTTGTACACAGCCGAAGAACTTAACGGGAAACCGGACAAAGATAGACTGCTATGAACATAGGTATATTATCGACATTTTTTCTACACTCGCTCGATAGCCGTTATCCTGTTATACATACGAGAGCACATCATAAGATCCTCTGGTAAAGGCGCTCGGCTGTCATATGCATACGAGCCCTCTAATGAGCTTCGAAGTTCTATTTTTAAGCTTCGTCAATTAACGCTATATCGCTTTATCCAGCTTGTATGCGCAGAACAGTACGAACGTCGTTCGATGAGGTGCCACTAAATCGTCATGCAGCTACGACGCTCCTTTCTTGTGAATCACGAACGATTTTGACCTGGAGGACGAAATTAGGACATGTTTGAATACGATTACGGAGCTTAACTTTCTGAACAAGCCAGCATTACTTATTTCTTAATGTTCGTGTTTCCATTCTGTAGACATTTAAACTTGTCATACGTAGGCGGAACACAATCGAGCTGGAATACTACACGTTTTGCCAGACTCGAGTACTCGCTACTATCTAATGTAGCTTACTTAGAGAAACTTATTAAGCATCAAGAAGTTACAAAGGCTTTACCGGATGGACAAACGGGGTAACGAAATTATTTTACATACGTCTATTGAGATCGACAGCACGCAGGTAATACTGGTGGTTGTTTTGTGATTTTTTTTGTCACGCTATGGTATGATAATAAAAGATTAAGTACGCAGATGAAAGCTTGAGGAGGTAGAATTCATTTGTCGGAAGGTCATGTCGCTAATAGCTGTGATTTGACACTATCATTATTATATGCTATGCACTAATTCAGATAAATAAGGACATGGTAAATGATTCATGACGACTGACTTCTAGCTGTTACTACGATGTAGTGGCGAAGCTAGAAGCGTCTGCTACTGCGCCAGTTCAGTAAAGGATGATCAGGCGAACGATCATTAGTGCATACCATATTACCTAGGTTGCATTAATAAAAGTCTCTATCAGGGTATCCAGGTTGTCCTAGAATTGTTCAAGTCTTGGATCGTGGTACATGGAAGTTTCTAGGGGCATAGAAAATAACAAAAAGCTAAAAAGCTACTTTTTGTTTCCGCTGTCGACACTGTGGTCGCCGTCATCGCGACAATTTTGTTTCGATTATCGTTGTTAATAGCCGACTATTAGAAAAAGGATCGTGTAATGGCTCTTGTTTTCCTTTGAAATAAATGCCTCTAAGATAGTAAAAAATATCGCCAGGCTTTTGGCTACTAAATACGGTATCATGGTATATCTAGTTTCCTGTGTAAATGAAATACTGTCCTGACATACTCACTTAATAAAGTGACTAGTATTTTTTTGGTAGTTAGTCTTTGGGGGAGATTGCAGCGTAGACGTAAATACTAGTCCACTCAATACAACTATGATATAACACTTACCGATGTGTGTCCTTTTGAGCCGAGGCTTAACAAGATTGAAAACTCATCAATACAGGGTAAAACGTCACTTGGCCGCGCTGCGAGGCGGAGAGCACGTACGTCATATTACTTATGTTTGCTTTTGACCAGCGATCGCGTCTCATGAGAACCTAAGTTATCATGCATATCACCTTATAATATACGTGCAATAATTGTATTTCTCTAGCTTTTCCGAACGAAGCAACTTTGACTATTGCAAACCTGAGTCTGAGAATTTGACGGATATTTCATGCCTGAGATAATATCATTCCCATATCGACCAAATAAAGTTAAGCATGCAATAACTTAAGTGAAATCGCAAATACCAGTGCAAGAACAGTAGCATTTGCGATAGCAGAGGATGAAGCTTGCGCAAATATTAAACAAACGTGGTCCGCCGTCTGTTTTTCGAAACGTCGTTGTCATTCGTATTCGCAATACCCCAACGCTCTCAAAAATGTAGTGGCGGCTGGACCTTTTTTGCTGGCGAACTACGGCGAGCTATTAATTAAGACCGGCCTATTTTCATCTGTCGCTTGAGGTTATTTCCCAAGCTCAATTCTGCCCTACGCGGTTTGCCTTTTATTCTCCGTCGGCCCATCCCGCCGTTCAATATAGTTAGAAGTACGTCACGCATATACATTGCGTATTTTGTGCATGATGGACATTCGAGCAATGGGGAAATT